GGCCTCCCCGTCCTCCCTCCCAGGTGCCTGTAGACAAAGTTGGTCCCGTCTGGGCAGCACCGGGACGCAGGGATCCTCCTGGGGATGGCCTGGGGGCTGGGGGGCGTGTGTGTGTGTGTGTGTGTGTGTGTGTGTGTGTGTGTGTGTGTGTGCTGCTTTTAGCAGTGTCATGACTGGTGGGAGGGTCATCGTAGGGTTTTCTGAAGTGACATTTTAGAACTTTTTTTTTTTTTTTTCTTCCTGAAATGTTTTCATGTGCAAGTAAAAGCTTTGGGGGAACCCCCCTCTGGGACTGTGACAATCTCTGCAGTTAGTCGAAACTTTAATTAATTTGTGAACTAGGGTTTATTAATTGGCTTTTCTTTACCTGAACAGAGCTCTTTGTAACCCAAAGCTGGGTTTACAAAGGAAAGCATCAAGAGTTTCCGTGAAATTATATGCCTAGACTTAACATCCCCTCCTGTTAAACATGTTGCCTATATTGTTTTATCTAGTGTGTAGAGAATTTCTATCAAAGCATCTGTCATGCCATAATAATCCCTTGTTAATAATTTTCTACTGGGTTAGCTCATGCATGCTATCAGTACCTCTGCTTGTGCACTGATTAAAACTGCACATGCTCTCTTAACATAATACTGAGATCTGAATACTGTCCAGTCTGGCAGAAGTAGTTTGAATGAGAATTTCTAAAGCGTTAAGTTTTGCATTAGATTTTCTAATGCAGGCCTGTAAGATCAACTTTTCCTCAAAATGTCTATAAAACTCTGTCTTCTGTTGCCTTTTTAAGGACTCAAGGATATCTCAATGTATTTTCTTCCTTAGGGTGCAGTAAGTGTACTCTCTTCTGCTATTTTTACACACTGGAATTAAAAACAGACTGAAAACTTGATGACAATAAGTTTTTTCTCAGGCTAAGTAGTACACAACTCTAGAAATAGTTCAGTTGATTTTTGTGGGAGTCCTTGTGATGCTCAACAGTGCACTGTGAGAAAACATGTCAGATTCTCATCCCGAAAAACTCAGAAAAAAAACCCCTCATGCCTTCCCATCTGTGTGAATAAGAGCTGGGTTTCCCCCTTACATCCTAGAAACAGATTGTGTAGGCCTACTTGCAGCTAAACATTACCATTTATAGTGAAAATGGTGAGCTGCTCTGGTGCTGGTTGCAGAAATGTCAAGAGTTAAAATATTTCCCAATATTTTCTTTTTCCTAGACAAAACATCAGCGTGCTGAGCTCAGTTATCTAGTTGACAGACCTCGACGAGTAAACAGGTATGAGCTCCTTAGCCTTGTTTTCCTCATGCATGCTTTAGGAAGTCTGAATGGGGTGCAGAAATGTGTTTACTGCAGATATAAAATAGTAATATAGCAGAGGGGAATTTAATGTGTGTAGACATATTAAATAAAACACTGTGGACTAAGTGAGTTTGAATTATGGCTTTTCTGAACTGGTTTCAAAACCAACTGAAAAGAAAACAAAATCTCATTTTGTATTGGACTAAAACATACTCTAAATACTTCTGAATGCTTCTGTAGGGTCTTCCAGAAAGCATTTGCCTCTCTGAGTTAAAATACAGCTATCCAGCTTCATTTTGGTAAATGCTACTAAATTACTCATACTGGTTACAAGAAAACCAGGCAGAGGACTAATGCCTGCTGTCCCTTTCAGCTGGATTACCAACGTCTGAAAATGCCAGTCTGGTTTATGGTGGACAGAGCACCTCTGCAGAAACAGTGCAGCAGGCAGGAGTGGGGGAATGCAGCACCGTGTTTGGCCATGTGATGGCAGAAGAATGTTTTATGAGTTCCTCTTTCATGTTAATTCTAATGTCAAGATGTTTCTGTGTCTAGTTCTGCATTCCAGGAAGCAGACATAGTAAGCTCTAAGGACAGTGGTCATGGAGACAGTGAGCAAGGAGACAGTGATCATGATGCCACTAATCGAGGTCAATCCTCTGGTAAGTCTGATAAGAGAATGGAAACAGTAGATCTCTGAGTAGAGAGGCTAGAAAGAACAGTGACTTACAGGCATATAATACAAGAGTGGCATAAATAATGTGAGCATATTGTGTGGGAGGCTGGGTTTCACTCTGCTTCCTGCTACAGTTGTCTGGGCGAGGAGACAATTTTTAATCTCTTTTATTCACACAGTTTATTTTATTTGTTTATTGGGGGGGTGGTATCTCACTCTGCATAATTTGCTGTAAGAAAACTTCCTGCACATTAAAACAAAGTTGTTGGTACCTTTTATAATGCATTTTTTTCAACGGCAGGTTTGCAGACTTTCAAAGTGTTAGGCAATTTTGTTTAGTAAGCACTTCAGCTGGCAGGGCAGTGTGAAGTCAAGAGGAGTTCCCAAGGGAAAGAATGAACCCAGTGGTTGAATGACAGCCAGACTTGTAAGGATTTTTGCTGGGGATCAGTGGAGACACACTGGGTGCTCTGAATATGTAATACCTTAGCATTTTTTTGATAATTTGTTTTTATTCAAATTGAGGCACCATATAGTATAAGTGATCTCTATGTTAGTAAGACTAAGGTCCTCTTTAAGTACATTTCTTTCAGTTCTGAGAAAGGAAAGAAATGCTTCAAAAGACACTGATTTGAATCACCCAGAAAATATATACATTGCAGTGTTATTCCCATGTGTACTGCTTGCTGTCTTAGCTCTCATACTGTCAGTTTTCTTCTGAAAGGGACATTTGTTTAGAGCCTATGCATTAGAATTCGTTCTCACCCTTGCATTGCATTTTACCCACAAATGCCTGTGCTTTCTTCCCTACCACAGCCTCCAAAGGTCTGATATGTCTTGATTTAACACACTGATTTCTTTCCCCTTGTTTCCTCTGTGCTCTATCACGTATAGGCGTTTGCTACAAGTGTGTCACACAAAATACTGCCGGAGTCATTATTTTTTTTCCCCTCACCCCCAGTTTGGAAGATGCCAAAGCAAGGGACTCAGTACCGTCATAGCAGTGCTGCCTCACCCGCGTACTCTATTAAGGTCCTCTTATTTTGTTGCTGCTATAGTCACTGTGCCCTTAACGATGGGAAACCCAGGCACCAGGGAAAGA